TTGTAATTTATATATATTGCAAGTTAATTTTATTTACAATGAATTTGTATTAAGTACACTAAAAATTGTATAAAGTGCACTAAAGATTGTATGAAGTGTACTAGAAATTGTATAAAGTGTACTAAAAATTGTTTAAAGTGTACTAGAAGTTGTATTAAGTGCACTAGAATATAACAAAAATATAAAAAAAAGTAAAATAAAACCATGGTCTACTTAAATACGCGGCCTTCTATTTTGCATTAATCAAAAAAAAAAAAAAGACCATTTGGAAATATGTATATTCTGTTGGATGGACAATCTTTTTTAAAATATTTTAATTACTGCACTATAAATTTTAAGTAAGCAAATTACTAGATAAAAAGATGATTTTAAAAGTTGATTTCAAAAGTAGGCACTGTATAAAAAGTTTAGTGTTGTGTAAATCAAAATCTTTATTAAAGTTCTCTAAATTTTGTATTGCTATTGGCTTCTTTTTAGCTTTTATTATTAATAAATAATTACAGATAAGGAGGCTACTTATTTGTGGCTATAACCCTCTCTCAACTCTATAACTCTGAAACACGAACCTTGACGAACAAGGCCGCTGCGGGGAGAAACGAGTTGTACGGGGTACTACCAGGGACGTGGTGGTACCCCCGTACAACATTGAAGTTAACGATGTTGAGTACAAAGTCATTTGCAATATATCAAACTTCTTAATCATTTTTTTGGCAATAAAACTAGCAATATTACTGGCAACTTCACAAGAATCATTACACAATCAAAATCTCTTACGTGGGTCTTCTCCATCAAGAATTTAACATGTTTTTTTTTTCAACAGCATTAATGTGGAATTCAAACAGACATCATTATTTATAAGCATGTACATATATAGAAAATATATGTACATAAATCAACTGACTTAAATAGGGATGAAATAGCGCAGTGAAGTGTACTCGAGGGTTTAGGTTCGAGCAGGCATTTCTTTAAATTAAAAAAAAGTATTTTCAATATTTTTTTAAGGTTTATAAATTAATTTAATTTATATAAAAAAGTTATTAAATTAACACTAGATTTTTAGGTGAAATAGTCAAAATAATTAATAATAACTTTAAATATGCGCACACAAATAAGCAAAAATCAGTTGCATGTGAATACAAATAATGCCTAACTACCTTATTAAATATGTAAATTTCTTTTATTAAATTTTATATTTGGTTATTTTGGAATTTTATATTTTATTTTTTTTCACTATAATTAATATCTTTTACACTAACAAAAATCTTGCTGGTAAATCAGCGACTTTAAGAAAGTTAAAATCTTCAATAATTCATTTACTTAAAATATGCTTTTAGTGATTTTCTTGGTCCATATATAACTGGAAGAGAAGCGGTTGTAAACTAGCTGGGTATATTATACAACCAAATTATTCAATAATCAAAATGGTTGCCCTTTACATATTTGAATCTCCTTATAATCATATAATCAAATCACATGATTATGTGACAATCAAGAAATTTTTTTTGACATATCAAAAACCAAAAACTGAGAATACTTCATCACCAATATAATTAGAGATATAACCAAGAACACAGCATTTATTAACCATAATTACTATTTATTACTAAAAAGAAGCCACAATTAGGTATAAAAAAATTATTGATGTTTTATAGAGATTCTAATTTACCCAATGCAAAAATTTTTATCTAGTGTCAGACTTAGTTACTTCAAAATTGTGAGTGCAGTAATTCAATTATTTTGAGAAAGCCTGTCTATCTGACAAAATATAAATTTTTCTAACTGGCCTTCTATTTTTTTATTTGACGCAAAATAAAAGGCTGTATAGTTAAGTAGACCATAAATAAAAAATAAAACACACATAAAAACAACAACAACAGTATGCTGAATGTTAATGTGTGTTTTAATAAATATCTATTTAGCTATTAATACTTGTTAATATTTAGGTCTTAAAGAAATTCGTTCAAAAGTATTAAAGTGTGTGAAAACTGGAATTGATGGTAAAAAATTCCCTTTAAATAAAGTTTCTCATTGTGTATAATATGTCAAATAATAATTATATTTTTACTTTTAGCATTGTTTGATGCTATAGAAAGAAAAGATATAGATGACTTAAAGAAATGCATTGATACCATTGATTTTGATATTAATGAGTGGGTATTATTTTTAAATTTTCATAAAAATGTATTTACAAAAAAAGTAATTTAAATTTTATTTTATTTAAAAAAAAGTATATAGGTCTATTTTGCTATTTAGTTTTAAACTCTCTCTCTATATATTTTATTATTTATTATTCTTAATAGAAAATGAAATCCTTTTTTTTTTTTTGATGAGACGAGAAGCAAGAAGTACAGCTGGATAATAAAAAGAGATAACAAAAAAAGGAGATATAAGATGCAAGATAAATGAGCGGTGAAAGATGTATAAGTTTTTACTGAATTTTAAGTTTTCATTTTACAGGTTGAATATTGATGAGTTTACAGCATTGGATGTGACACTAATGAAAGGAGAAAAAGAAATGGCTTTGTTATTACTCCGTCATGGTGCAAAGGAGAATCCAACATGTATGTATTCAAATTTTTCACCAAATAATTTTGTTTAATTTGCATTGGAAAACCTCAAGACATAGTTGAATAAAAATTATATAATAAAAAAAAGTTTAAATCTGTGGTGCATTTGAGGGCGATATTGAAACAACTAAAGCAGGGGTTACAACAAATATAGCAGGGGTTTAGTATCAGTGATGCAAACAAGGTCAAGGGTATAACTGTTTTTTCCTTCCTCTTCTTTTACAAAACTAAAAAATGTTTTTAGAGAGGTAGTATTGGCTAAAGAAAGTATTGATAAGACACTTTAAAAACTGATGCAGTAAATATTTTTCTTTTTTGAGCTTGTTATCAATGTATTTAATACATCACAATATATAAGTTATAAACTATTAATTTATTAATTAAAAAAGAATCAATTAAGTTAAAAATATAAACTAATTCTGTAGTTGTGAATTGTTTGAAAAAATATAAACTAATACTGTAGTTGTGAATTATTTGAAAAAGCTTAAATAAATAATTGCAGTTTTTTTTAATTATAGTGATAAAAAATGTTCAGGAAATCTTAAAATCTATGTTTATACTAAAAAAATGTTTAGGAAATCTTAAATTCTATGTTTTACTAACAAAACTTTTCAGGAAATCTTAAAATCTTTAATTTTACTAAAAACTTTAGCCTGTAACAAGATAAATAAGCTATCATTATTTTATTTAGATAGTAGTCCAGAAAAAAGAATTGAACATCTTAATAAATTAATAGAAAAGGCAGAAGAAACAGTTAGCAATTTAGCTTTGAGTGTTGTCAGTGCAGTTGGTGAAAAGGTATAAATTTTTTAATTTCATTTATGTACTTGTCTAAATGTTTTATATATTGTTTATTTAAGTATTTAAATTGAGAGTTTATTATAAATAACTTTTTAAATGAGCATGTTTTTGTTGTATTTTAATAACCATTCATGTTTATTTTATTTTAAAACCATGTTTATTTAGGACAATGAGCGGCAGCTAAGAGAGTGGGAATGGAGGTTGTACATGTTAAAATTAATGCAAAATGGTTTTATTAGTTCAAGTAAATAATTTTTAATTTTTTTTATAAAAGTTTTAAAATTGCTTTTCGTGTTTTTATATAGGTTATATCTTTTTATTAAGGCTCACCATTAGATCCCCCTTGTTTTACGATTGCACCATTAACAAGTAACTCAATTGTTGTTATGATTAGTGCACCTGATAAACGCAAAGAAATAGTTACCCGATACAAAAGTAATTTTTTAATCACATTTTTTTAACATATATTATTTATTATACTTTAAAATTTTATTTACTTTTTGTAAATGGTTATTTTAAGTTTTTTTAAATAATAAATATTTTAACTTCAGTTGAGTGGAGCAGGAAAAATGATTTCTCCATAATCGATGGAGAATTTATAATGACAGACATGCTCAATTTAAACTACACTATAAACAAGTTGGAAAAGGTATTGTTTATTACTAAAAAGAATTTTAATTCTAAATAAAAGTTTAACAGTTTCTTCATCATTAATTAATTTCCAACCCTGTCTTTTTATTATTAATTTATCTTTAACACTATCTCTACATAATCAATTTGTCTTCAACACTATCTCTTCCTAATTAGTTGATTTTATCATAATCGCTTTATCTTATCATCACACAATCTTATCATAATCAATTTATCTTCAAAACAATCTCTTCATAATAAATTTATTTTTAAAATCTTTGAAGCTATAAAATGATTTTTTTTTAAGAATATTTACTGGTATGTACGTGTCTCTGCTGGAAATATGAAAGGATATTCACTTTGGGGTTATCCAAATCCAAATGCTGTTGTTCCATCTTGTAAGTTTTTTATTTTAATGTTTATTACACACATTAAATGACTATTACTATTACTCACATGTAGTACACATACATAACACATGAAGTACACAATTGTAAAAAAGATTTGTGATATTATTTAGTTTTTATGAAAGTTTTTGTGATATTAAAAGTTTTGTATTTTTATTTTGTGTTAAAACATAGATAACTTTATTTTCTCAATGTTTAAAAGATAAAAGTCTTAATTATTGTTTCTTGATTTTATAATGAAATAAAAATTCAAATTTTAATTTAAACTTTGCAATTAATTTTAAATTCAGTAAAGAAAGGAACAAAGAAAGTATATATTAAAAGTTCCAAGTGATAAGTATAAAAGAAATCTCAAGTTTCAGAACTTATATGTTTTTGCATAAACTTGGTAGTCATGTAGTGATAGCTCATCTTGTATGCAAGAAGTTTGATTCACACTTAAAGTATCACATTTTTATCCTGTGTACAAAAGCTTTAAAGTAATGTTATAAATTAGAGTTGCACAATTAATCCACAAATATATCATCAAATTGCGATATAAAATGTTAATACAATCAATAGAATTTTATATAATATAAATATATATTTTTAAATCATTTTTTAGCAAAATAAGTTTTAATAAATATTATTTAAACTGATCAGGCAAATTAAATGGTGCATCAAATTTGTATATAACAAATGGTTATAGAGTTTAACAATGTTAAAAAATATTAATAAAGTTTTCAATCATAACCATTATATATAGAACAGTGAGTTACATATATTCATATAATTACATATGTAAGCAGATATATTTACATAAAAAGATGAGTATTATTTTATCATAAAGACATTTTATTGACAAGTCAACAAAATGTGTAGGTATACATTTTTAAATTATATGCAGACGACAATAAAATTCTTAGTGTTGTCAACACTACAGAACAAAATTTTTGTCGGCAAGCTGGTATTGACAATATTGTTAATTGGATCCATGAATGGCTTATGGAAATTAATATAACAATGGAATAAAAATGGAAACTAATGCATTTTAGCCAATCAAAGTTTGGGCCACACCTTTACTTCATTGTTGACCATTAGTCAAAGGGAAATTTCAACAGAGTTTAACCTAAATCAACCTCATTAGGAAGAGACCTAGAGATTTTAATTTTCAATGACCTAAAGCACCATGCCCAAACATCTATTACTGCCGCTAAGGCTAACAAAATCTTTGGTATCCTAGAGCACAACTTTATAAGCAGAAATGCTTATAAAGTTGTGCTCTAGAAAAAGCTTTATACAGTTTATATACATCCACTTCAAAAATTTGCTATCACTGATTGGTGTCCTTATTTATAAGAAGATATTTCAGTAATTGAAAGCATTCGAATCATCATTGTGTAACAAAAGTACAGCAAGAAATGAAGCCATTTGAATATAAAGAAAGATTTGCCAAACTTGGTTTTACTTCTTTATGCCAACGACAAAAACAATTGAATCTTATTGATAAATTTAAATTAGAGTGTAGAATCAATTTAGTTAATAGGTGTATTAATCCAATTAAAATTCCTCCCAGCATTGCAACTGATATCATAGAGAAATGGACAACTGATATCAAAGAGAAACTGCTTGGATATAACTTTTTTAACAACTGTGTGGCTAACACATGGAATTGCTTAACACATGGAATGGTTTACTAGACAATGTCATTAACTCCAGCATCAAAATTAGTTCCTACAGCGCATGATTTTTTGTGGCAGCTGCAATACTGTTTTATAAACTAGCTTTACTAGTTAATGATGAGGTTATGGTTCATTAATGATGAGCTTATGGTTCATTTGCTGTTTTGTGTAACTTTTATTTTAAAAATTAATACTATTAATAGTTTTATCATTTTTAATATATTATCTTTTTATATAAATTTTTTTTTTTTAATTCAGAATGTTTTTGGTTCTTTAATTATTATTTATACTGTTTTTATCAATTTTATTTGTTTTATTTTGTTGATTTTTGAATTTATTATTTTTTAACTGGTTTATTTAAAGATTAGCACAGGAAAGTAACTATTAAAATTACATATATTAGTATATATGTCAGTATTATATATATATATATATATATATATATATATATATATATATATATATATATATATATATATATATATATATATATATATATATATATATATATATATGTGTGTGTATATATGTATATATATATATATATATATATATATATATATATATATATATATATATATATATTTATTATTAGCGTGGCATGATTGTGATGATAGACTACCAAGATATTTTGGTGCCACTGATCAACTTTGTAACTTGCTCGAACAGTTATATTCCTATCATAAGGAAATAAAAATTGAATGTATGTAGCATAGTTATTCTATAATTTATAATCATAAGGGTTTGAAGACATGAAACAAGGAGAAAGTTTGGGAGAAGGTTTTAATAATATAAAGATGAAAAAAATTATTTTTCATTAACAGACACTTCAGATAACGAATCAAAAAGCCCTGTCCATGTTTCAAATATTGAGTTAAAACTATATAATCACAGCAAAAAGAATACGATGATCAAAAGTTTGCACAAGTACACAAATTTCATTTTTAATTCAGCTCCTAAATTGTTAAAAAAAATTAAAGGGTAAGTTTTTCATCCTAATAACAATTACTTTCAATTTATTATTACTTTTGTTACCAAAAAAAAAAAAAAAAATTTTTAAATACAAATAAAATATATGCACATAAAGTGTAATAAATACAAATAAAGGTTTAAGAATAAAGTGTATGATGTATTATCTAATAATAAATTTATTTAAAATTCATAGAGTAATATAAAAGTCTAGGTGTAGATTTAATGAGTTATAAAAATACAACTTTTTATAGGGCTATGCAGTCATATCAGGAAAGCTCTGTAAACTTTCTATAGCGCTTGGTCACATAATAGTATGTTTCTACGGTGCTCAAATACCTGTCTTAGACATTTGCAAATGAAATTGATGATATTTGATGTAAAATTAAATACAAGCTATTCTTATTTTGATTAATATAAATGCCAAAACTTGACAAGAAAAAAAAACTTGACAAGAAAAAAAAACTTGACAAGAAAAAAAAACTTGAAAAGAAAAAAAAACTTGACAAGAAAAAAAAACTTGACAAGAAAAAAAAACTTGAAAAGAAAAAAAAACTTGACAAGAAAAAAAAACTTGAAAAGAAAAAAAAACTTGACAAGAAAAAAAAACTTGACAAGAAAAAAAAACTTGAAAAGAAAAAAAAACTTGACAAGAAAAAAAAACTTGACAAGAAAATTAAAAACTTGACAAGAAAAAAAAAACTTGACAAGAAAATAAAAACTTGACAAGAAAATAAAAACTTGACAAAATAAAAAAAATTTGACAAGAAAATAAAAAATTGTATGAAAATAAGTGAGTGATTTTTTAGTAAAAAAATTTTTAAAATGTTTAATTTGAGATTTAGTTTTTTTTTTTAACTTTGCACTTATATACAACTAAAAGCCATTATTATAAAATAGAAAAATGGTTTTATCTGAGGAAATATAGGCATAATAGGATAGTGGACAAAGTCTAGCAATTAAATGGAAAATAAATGCAGTACTACTGAAATTGTTATATATAAAAAACTATAAATTTTACAATCCTACACAAAAATGATGCAAATTACATTATTACAAAAATAAGAACATAAAAAAGAACATAAAAAAGAACATAAAAAAGGAAATCCCTTTTTCGAAAGTTGGCATTCAAGATTATCCTTTTCTGTTTTTTTTTTTTTTTCTTTTGATATTTTGTTTTGAAAAAACTGCAATATTGAATCGCAAAATCATTCAAAAGGTCAAAAGGTTTGGATATGTTTGGATTTGAAAAAAATATGTTTTTTAATGATTTTATGTTTCTAAATATGTATTATATGATTGTCATTTGGCATTAAACTATTGGTCAAAAGGATATTATGTTAATTATATTATATTGAATCACAAAAAAATTTAAAAGGTCAAAAGGTTTCGATATTATGTTAAATGTTTGAAGAGTCTCAACTTTTTAAACCTCAATATTTTGGGGTTTATTTTTGAGACCTTTTCTTGGTAAAAAAAAACTATATACTTTTTAAGCAAAGTGTGATAAATGGGAATGAGTTTGTGTAGAAAGTATATTGTAGTATATTTTTTACTTTTAGTCGTGGGATTTACTTGGCTTCGCTTTTATACAGTGATGATCTTACTCGTGTTTTGGTCACTATAGATGAAAATTTGCCCATAGTGGAGTGTGATGACAGTTATTCCAAGTCATTTACTCATGAATTTTATTGGTTTTCTAAGGTTTTCATGATTTAATTTTTTTTTATTATTATAATTGTTTTTTTTTTATTTTACTTTAATCTACCAACACTAATGCTACTGCTGAGGTTTATACATATATTTAATTTTTTAAATACCAATTTCCTAATGGAGGTACTTTCAAACAAACAAAAAATGACAAAAAAGGAATTTTTTTGTTATATTAAATATTCTTTATATATAGATACTACCTGAACCCTTTGATGATGTATGTACTGAATCCCCTCAGATTTCTGTTTAAGTCGCAGTAAACATAATAAGCAATGTTTAATGTATAGCTAAACCAGTATTTACAAAAGTTGTGCACTGCAAAGTCAAGAATAAGAAAGAATAAAATAAAATTTAGTAGTTTACATTTCTTAATATTATTATTTCTTAGTATTATATATACATTATTCTTAATATTATTAATCAAATAAAAAAATAAAATCCCAAATAGATTCGATTGGATAAAATCTGGTGATTGAGTTGGCTAAGGCAATAAATCTACTTCATTTTCCTTCATCCTTTAACTGTACCAGCTGTGTAGGCAAGCCCATTATCCTATTGAAACTGCCACCTTTCATTTTGACCAATAAAAATGTTTACTGAAAGAACCATGCAGTTTGCTAGCATCTCTCTATATTTTTGTTTATTGATTCAACCTATATAAATGTTACAAACATATACTCTGTTTAAAATGTTACACATACTCTGTTAAAAATGAAGCAGCTCTAAATAATAACACTTCCACCATCTTTATCCACACAGTAAGAGTGTTGTCATTTATCCACACAGTAAGAGTGTTTCATTTATCCACACAGGGATATCAGCAATATTACATTAATTATTTGAAACAAACAACTAATTTTATTTTTTTTTAAAGTTCACTAAATTCAGCTGTTACAAAGAAAAATTATATTAAAAATTGGCTGCCTGTTTCGGGTGATCAAAGTGCAAAGACTGGATTTTACAGTTGTGTTATCAACAAAAAAAGTTGCTTTAGAGATAAGGAAGATCATTAACCCTTTATTGTTCACAGGATCCAAATGGATACCATGACTTTAATTCAAAAAAAATTATAGATCTTCTTTGCATTTGATTGTTTTTGTTGTTGTTATGTAAAATACTAGTATTTTTTTTGAAATTAAAACCGGCTGTTTAGAAGAATGTTCTAGATTAGTAACTTACTTACCAGCAACTATGTAGTTTCGGAGTTAAAAAAGTGATATTTTTATTTTTAACTTTACACAAAAGTATTTTTAACTTTTTAAATATTATTCAATTGATTTTTCTACCAAAGAATCATATTTTTAAAGGGAATAAAACTTGACATATATATATATATATATATATATATATATATATATATATATATATATATATATATATATATATATATATATATACATACATTCATACATACATATATATGTAAATATGTTTTTATACTTTATATATATAGTCATGTTTTATACTAATAACAAATTATTCATTTAAACTCTTAAAAAAAAATAGGTTTTAGAACCTTATTGTACAAAGTATCCATATGGGTTCCTTCTATATCTCATGGTAGGATGACCAATAAAAATTTTATTTTCAAGAATAATACTTAGTAATATAAATTAGTTTCATATATAAAAGGAATATTTTTTTAAATGAAGCTATCATAAGGTGACCAATAAAGGGAAAATGTTAATGTGAAACAACACAAGAAAAATGTGATTTTAAAAATAAACAATTTTTCAAATGAATTTCACTTAATATGTTCTATATAATAAAATAACACAGGGTTTTAAAATTTTTTTCTTTAAATATATTTTAGGGGTGCTTTAAGTTGTGACCCATGAAGTTAACTTATTTTTTAGTTTTTTATGTACCATATTGTTTTCTATTTATCAATGTCATATTGTGAGATAAATATTTTCATCTCTTGGAATTAGGGCTGGCATAGCCAAATGCGGACCTAATTAAATACTAATTGCTGACTTGATCAAATACTATCTGTTGACCTTGTTTCTATGTTTTTATGGTGAAACTTTTGTGTTGAAAATGTTATGCCAACTAAAACAAGTTTAAGGCTGGTAAAAAACACATTTTGCACAACATTAAAACTATATCTCTACCACTACCATGTTAATAGCAAGTTCACTTTATGCTACTTTATATCCACTTTATGCTGCTTTATGTTCACTTTATGTTACTTTTTGTTCACTTTATATTACTTTTGTTCACTTTATGTTACTTTTTTTTATTTTATTTTTATTTTATTTTTTATTAAATTAGTTTAATCAAATAAATATAAAAAAACTGGAAAATAAAAGGCACACAAATTTCTGTTCAACTTTCTTCTCAACCCAGCTGTTTATTTTATTAATTTATATGTTAGTTTTAAAAAGTATTATTTAGATATCTTGCACATGGGAAGATCTTCAACATATGATGCTTTTCTCTGAAAAATCTTGCTCCTCCCACTCAGTAGAAATACGAAGAAAACTCATCCAATCTGCTCTTTCGTTAATGGTTATTTTCTTTTTATTTTATTTATTTCATTTAATTATGATGATTTCTAGAGATTTTAAAATTGATTTTAAATTTAAAATTAGATTTGATATAATTTATCTAGGATGCAACAGGGGTATGCAATCTTGGTCCTATACATTATAAACCTTTTCGTGACAACCATGGTAGCATGCTTCTTTTATCTGTTAATTGTGTTGAGGTAATTGCTTAAGTTATTCAAACTGTTTGGTTATTTTGTTGAATTATTTAAATATTTGAGGACTACTTATTACAATTTAGGATAATCTCAAAAAATTTATATCATGATACATATATTTATTTTAACAACTGTTTGTTAAGAAGTTTGAAGAAATTGATACTGTCTCCACTTCCAATCTAGATATAATATAGCTGAAAATATAACTGACATTTGAAAAATTTAACTCATAAATAAAATTTTGTTGTTGTTGTTGTTAAAGTTGTTCAAATGTTGAACCATTTTCTTTAAAGTTTTTTATATGTTTGAACATTTTCATGAACTAGTAATGGAAGTATTAAAAATAATTTAGAGAAAATGTATTCTTTACTTCTATTTTAATTTCTTTTAGCAAAGCTTCAATCTAATAATAATAATATCATCCAATTTATAATTTCCTTTTACCTTTGTTTTCCTTTTTTTATCATTTTTCCTTGAAAAGTTTATGTAAAATGGATATGGCAGGCCAAGCTAGTTGGAAAGCTTTTTGCATAAGCTATCTGTTTTTCCTCAAGCTATCAGTTTAATTTTTTTTTTTTTTTTATCAACGTTTTATGTCATATTTGTTTATGTTTTTTAAAACACAATGAATTAGGTTAAAATTTACACAATCATCTTCTAGGATTAACTCTTACTTCCGATCTTTCTTGGAAACCATAAAATCCATTGCAAAATTAGCATCTGCTAAAGTTTTATTTTATTGTGCTAGACCCTTTCCTACTCCAGATTCTTTTCTTTATCTTTATAAACCTCAAATCTATCCTTGTAAGGAATACTGTTGCCATATCTGGGCCAGATCTTCAAATGTTGCCCTTTCTCTTTTAGACAAGGTTCAAAAACACATTGTAAACATAGTTGGTCCTGCTCTTGCAACCAACCTCCAACCATTATCACATCGTTGTAACGTTGTTTCTCTTTCTCTTTTCTACAAATACTATAATGGGCACTGCTCTAAGGAGCTAGCATTTCTTGTGCCATCTACTAAAATTCATTCTTGTGTTACTTGTCATTCAATTAAATCTTATCCTTTTTCTGTAACTGTTCCTAAGTGCTTCAAAAACTCTTATTTGTCTATCTTTTTTCCTTGAACATCAGTTCTTTGGAATTTGCTTTCTTTATCTTGCTTTCCTGATATAATTTGCAATCTTTTAAGTTGTCTGTCAATCGTTATCTTGCCCTACAAACTTCATCTTTTCTCTTCAAGTAACTTCCAACTCTAATAGCCTTATTGGAAGCAAAGATGTTAAAAAAAAATATATTATAATATTATTTCATTATATTAACATATAAATGAAAGATTTGTTTATAAAAATAAAAACATATAAATGAAAGATATGTTTATAAAAATAAAAACATATAAATGAAAGATTTGTTTATAAAAAAAGTTTAGTATATACGTTAAGTTTTTTAAGTATATTATAAAATAACTTAAAAAACTCAACGTATAAAAAAACTTAAAACGTATATAAATAAAATCTTAAAAACTTTTCTTAAAAAATGTCTTCTTAAAAAACCATTTTTATTTGATGTTTATTTAGAACCTCTTTCATTTAAAAGGTCAGTTAATTAAAAGGTTTATTTGTTTAAAATATTGTTAAAACTGTTTTAAGTTATTAGTGAAATGTTGAAATTGTTTAAAAAGATTTTAATATGTTATGAAAATATAAGCTTATATAATTCATTTTAAAATTATTTTAATAGATATTATTTTATATTTTAAAATGTAAACATATAAAGAGGAAAATAATATATTTACTATTATATATTTTTATTGTAAACAATTTTAAAGTTTTTCAAAATATCTTCATTCAGAATTGATTTACTCAATTATAATATTAAATTCATTCAAAGTTTAATTACAAACAATTTTTCTTTCTCACTTGTTCTCACTTACTATGCAGAGAGCAAGTGACACAATGAAAATGCAAAGATCTTTTAAAAACTATTAATACAAAAATAATAGTTCTTATAACTATATATAAGTGCTCAGGATTAAAAAAAAAAATTTAAATAACTTTTTATTGATCACCAATTAAAAAAAAAAAAATTAATTTTATATTTTACGCATGGCGAAGTTTATAGTATAAGTATAACTTACATTAAAAAAAAACTTATTTAAATCAAGAGAAGTTATTTTTTACTTTAGCACAAGCCATAAATAGCTAGTGTAAACCAGTTTATATATATATATATATATATATATATATATATATATATATATATATATATATATATATATATATATATATTTGTGTGTGTTTTTTTAGTATAAAGTGTGTAGTTTATGTTAAAGAAAATTGCTCATCATTTTTCCCTTGTAAAATTGAATTACATTGTCAACAAAGATTATTATCCATGCTTTTCATAATGTCCTTGAAAGCAGTTTTTACCAATGCAGCAATGGTCTGCGCTATGAATGACTAAAAATAACTGATCTAAAAATGCAATCCTAGACATTACCTTGTACCCATTAACAAAAATAAATAATATGAAAATTCAAAAAAGATATGTTATTGCTATTGTTTGTGTTAATCACATTTATTTTGTTTTGAAAAATAAATCTTTTGTTTGATTCTATGCATTATTATTGAGTTACAGTTTACAGTTTGAGTATTTCTTGGTTTAATTGTTTTCTTTTTTTTTTGCTATTAAGTTGAATTTAGTTTTTGAAGCTATAAGATTGTTATTGAATAAATTTAAGAACACAATAGAAATGTATTCTGTTAAAAAAATTTTAATGCATTTATGTTATTATTTTTAACTATTTTAGAAAAATCATTTAAACAATTATCGTTCAACAACAATGAAATGGATGCCAATAAAAAAATTGATTAAGAAAAGTAACAATGATCACATGATAACTGCTGAGAAGTTGATCCCTTCCATTCAGGTAACTCTTGTTGTTACCTAGGTAACTGTTGTTCTCTCTCTATTTTCTTTTTAAAGTTAAAGTAAAAAATTTCAAATAAACATTTTCAAAAACAATATTTTTAGGAACAGATTACGTGCCATCGTCATTCTCAATCTATTTTGTCCAGGTAAACTTTCTTAAGACTGAGTATATGTATATATTTATATGAAACTTTCTTAAGACTGATTATATTTATATAAAACTTTCTTAAGAGTGAGTATATGTATATATTTATGAGTTGGCTGACCTGCTTTATTTTCTAAGTTAGTCATTGTGTGAGATAATGCTTACATAACATTATGTGTGAGATAATGCTTACATAAAGTTATGTGTGAGATAATGTTTACATAGCGTTTTGTGTGAAATAATGCTTACATAACGTTATGTGTGAGATAATGGTTGCATAACGTTATGTGAGCATTATCTCACTTAAAGCAAAGTTTATTCCAATCAGAAGTTATATAGACTCATTAAACATTAAATATACATTTTTAATGGAGTTACAATTTGTAATTGAATTGAGTGGTAGCGGAACCAAATTATTTTGCTTTAAGCTGAGAGATATAGGCTGAGAGATGCTAAAGCTTTGTTATGTTATGTTTGTTTGTTATGAGAGATGTAGGCTAAAGCTTTGTTATGTTTGACTAAAAGAGCTCAAAATCTGGAGAACAATTATAATGTTCTAAAAAGTTTGTTTGAGGTATTTATCAATCTTGTGGTATGGTTATGTTTGCTAACTGGCAAGGTCTATTGCTAAATTTAAAAAGACATATGTAGTTTAAAAAAAAAAGAAGGTATTTCTCCTTCTGATTATGGTAAAAAAAATAAGCGTGCAGCTTTGGATTAAAAAAGATTTTAGTCATATTAAATATAATTTTATGATATTCAAGTTTATGTATATTATGTATATGAAAAATTGTTTTTAATATCACTATATTAAAAACAGTATTTGCTAAGCTGTTTAAAATGTTATATTACTTAAAGATAAATATCTTGTTTAATTATTTCTATCTTATTAAAAACATTTATGCATAATTGATAAATTTATACTCATTTTATACTCATGTTTATCAAATATTTAATGCTGTTTCTAAGTTATGAGAAACATAACTATGAAAATGTTTTATTCAAGAAAAGATAAAGAATATTAAAAAAGACCTTATATTTACAATTAACTTTACTATTTTTTACTTTACTAATTTTTTACTTGACCAATTATATTTACAATTAAGGTTGTACCAGGAAATGTTTCAATAGATTAATAGATAATAGCGTACTTGCCTCAGAAACGTAAGATCCGTGAAACGTAAGATCCAGAAACGTAAGATCCAGAAACGTAAGATTCAAACCCCTTCTCGGGGCAAGTTTTGCAACATCGGTTGTGAAGGAGGCGTGAACTTCCTATTAAATGCTCTTCCGCGGTGTCTGTGATAAGACCGCAAGGACTTCTTGGGGCACCTAAAAAAGAAAATTAAAAAATATATAAATAAAAAAGATAATCAATATTTTAAGTTTAAATTCTAATCAATATTTAAAGTTCTAAATAAAGGTTAAAAGAGGCATTTAAAAGAGGAATTGTTCCATATTAGTATTTTTAAAAATACCACAAAAATTATCTTTTAATCAGTTTATATCTGTTATGTGGTTTTCTTTTTTTTTTTTTTTTTTATCAGATCAGAGGAATGATTGATCCGAATTATTATATATATATTGTTACAAAGGTCTCAAACAAAACTACTCAAGCGGAACACTGAAGTTCAACTAAGCGTATAGCGTTTGGATAAACATTTGTTTATCAACCAAACTGTTTACTAATTGTAGCCGCGTCTAGCGTCTGCTGAAGATATAAAAACGCGAAGAAGACGAGATATGATGTGTATGTGAATATAGATATAGGGGATATACAAGGTCGGGGTTGAAGTAGATGGTCATCCAGAAGAGTTAGTGAAGCAATAGCAGACTAATTAATTAAAAGACAAACTATTTAAGAGAATAATATAAGTTGTAGTTATATATATTTGATTATTTATATTTGGGTAATTGAGACAAAGTTATTTTTTTAAATAAAATTACTTTATAACACTTTGGAGTAAACTTATAATGTATAACCACGAAAGAAATCTATTACGTAACAATATATATATATATATATATATATATATATATATATATATATATATATATATATATATATATATAATATATATATATATATATATATATATATATATATATATACAACCTCGGAATTAGGGTCGGCATTCAGCAATGTGACCTAATTACCGACCTAAAAGTGTTTAAGGTTGGCAAAATATTGCCGACCTTGTTTTTATGTTTTATGGTAAGACCTTTGTATCAAATTTTTTTTTGCCGACCTCTAAAAGATTGAGGTCGGCAAAAAATTGAGATTATTGCTTAGAAAGGAATTTTAATAAACTGTGAAAAAAATAAAATACTTTGATATAGCTTCTTCTATATTTTTAATTTATTTTTTTTAACAATATTTGCTTTTATATACAATTTATAAACATAATAATAAAAATTTAGACTAAAGCTGAATAAACTGAGAGTTTATACTATTTTTAACCAACCATAGTTTGTGCTTTTGTCGAAACCCAGACAAATAACAGATAAATACCTCCCCTACTTGTATAGTTTCTTTGATTACATTGAGATCACAGTAGACCCAGAGGTGGAAATAGACACAAAATATTTTTTTGAGAGTGCCTATAAAAGTTATTTATTTAAAAAGCCAGATAAATTTGTGGATGAATAAAAAATAAGTTATGTCTAGCTAATTTCTAAGCGACAATGAAGTTGGTAAATTTCGTAATTTTTTATGTATCTAAAATTATTTAGTAAATTTAGATGGTTTTCATTTAAAATGCTTTTACCAACAAGCAAATTAGTAAACAGTTTATGTAAAAGTTGTTTTTAATTTGATATTGAATATATTTTTGAATAAATTAATTTAAAGTGTTTAATTTGTTTAAATTCGATTTTTTTTGTAAATTTTTAAACTTAAACTACTGTGCTATACACTATAAAAATATTTAACATTTCTTCTTTTAAAATATTTTAAGGAGAACTGAGGCAAGTTAGTACTTTTACATGATTTAAAAAAGTTAAACAGTGAAACGGTTTTTTTTTTTAACATTATGTGAATATGTTATGGTTACAAATGTTAAACTTTTATTTGATTTGATTTTCTTTGTGTTTCAGCCTAAGTAAAGTAAACTAAAAAATTAATTTAATACATCACTGAAACAGATTTTTACAAAATTTATTGAGGCTGACAAAGCTCCTAAGTTCAACTCAATAACATATTCAGCCATTAAAGAAATAAGTTAGTTCACAGGAGTTTAAAATAGTGTGTGAAAAAGCTTTATAAATGCCTGAAAGAAAAACATTTCAAAAAAAAATGGTATGTGTTTATACTTTTACAAGCATCAAAAGATATTATTTATGAAGCAGTGGAGACTTACATAACAAAACTGGGTTTTTCAAAACAAAGAAAGTCATTTACAGAGCTGGGTGATAAGATGAAAAAGTAGAGAACACTGGAACTTGTCAATTATAAAAATAACTTTATCGCTAATGAATGAAAATACTGGACTGTGATGAGATATGTGTTGCAACTCTGGTGAGAATAAAGAGACATCTATAACAGGGTCATAAGGCCATAGATTTTTTTTCGAAAAATTAATATTTATTAAGATCTATGCACTCCTATGTACAAAAATATTGTGTTACTATTACATTCTCAAATCGGTGTAATACTTTGTATAGTTTTTTGTCAATATAAAATTAAAATCAACAAGTTTCAAGAGTTATATAATGCTACACTTAACATTATTACAAATATGCCACAGGCACAAGTTAACCATACTCTTCATGGAGTCCTACATCACTCAGCTGAATTAATTATTCTTAATGATGTTTATGGCCTCGGCAGTTTTTGTTTTTTTTAAACATCTTTGTCTCCTGGAACCTACCATAGAAGTAATTTTTTTTTCTGAAATTGTATATCAAAATGAACCAGAAAATTCATTATATCTATTAAATTAACATAAGTATTTTATGCCCTACCCTAATTTATATATACGTATATATATATATATATATATATATATATATATATATATATATATATATATATATATATATATATATATACACATATATACATTTATATATATATATATATATATATATATATATATATATATATATATATATATATATATATAATACATATATATATATATATATATTTGTTTATATTTATATTTATATATATGCATGTATATACATATATATGTGTATATATATATATATGTATGTATATATATGTATATATATTATATTTATATTATATATATATGTTTGTGTGTATATATATATATATATATATATATATATATATATATATATATATATATATATATATATATATATATATATATATTGGAGCCTGGGAAAAAAAAAGCCCTAAATTTTTAGCTACACCTGCCCCAAGCGTGAGAGCAACAAGTTGATAAAATATTTTTTCTACTATTCTCAACCAAGTTTATATTCATCGATAAATTTTAAAACTCACACAATAATCTCTTAGCGTTTAACAATTATAGCTTTTTAAAATTTGCAACCCCCTCAAATTAAGGGGGGCTCAAACTTTTTATGGTCATAGTTTTTGAACGCTATGAGATTATTGTGTGAATTTAAAAATTTATTGATGAATATAGATTTAGTTAAGAATAGTATAAAAATTATTTTATCAACTTGTTGCTTTCACGTTTGGTGTAGCTAAAATATTAGGGTTTTTTTGTTCCCAGGCTCCAATCATTGCAATTTTTTTGTGAAGCGTCCTTATTTGATATAGATGTAAACATATAAATTTTTAAAGTTTGCTCCATGTCTGCAAGTTAGGCATATCAAACATCAAAAAATGCTGCATCCGCGCCTATATATATATATATATATATATATATATATATATATATATATATATATATATATATATATATATATATATATATATATATATATATATATATATATATATATATATATATATATATATATATATATATATATATATTCATAGAGGCCTATATCTTGGTTATTTAAAGCTGCAAACAACTGTAGATACGCTTTCAGTTATTGTTTCTAACAGACGTACAAATATGTTACCTCATGTTAAAATTCAGGATGTTCCTAATGTGACTAAAGAGGAATGGAATTGGATAAAGAATCGAAATGTGAGTTGGATTTTAATTTTATCTTAATAAATGTTTTAAGTTTGTTGTTTTTACATTTTTTTTTAGTATATTTTAATTTTTTAGCATTTGTTTAACTTTTTTTTCAGAGCGAGTTACATCCTTCTAATTTATTCCCCATAAAGCTCAATCGGGCTATAAGAAACCTTTTTTCGCAACTTGGTATTCCTAATGAGGTATATTATAGCATTACTATTATTTTCTCTATATGGTAGTCACATCAATCTTGAATGGTTTTGTTTTATTTAGTGAGAATTTTCTAATATTTCTGTTTTTATAGAAACACTTAGAACATCGCATTTACGACCAAGAGGTAATTGAACTCAAGACGGATGTAATGATGATTGTAATATGCCCTCCTATGGAAGAGCTTTGTACGCCTCCAAACCAATGTGACATATTTTCTAAATTATCAACTTGCTCTTCGATTCCCGTTCAATCGTTTGAAATGTTGAACATGATGTCCTATCAACCGAAACTTATGTCAGCCTATTGCAGATTATCAAGTATTCTTGAGCTAGAGAATTATTGCATGCAACAGAATTTGCGTGAGTGTATTTGCCAGGATGAAATGAAACTGTTAAAAGAAAAACAAACAAAGCTTGCGTATTTTCAACAATCTGTTGATTGCTTGTGGCGAACAAGTAGATGGGTAGTCGATACACTCAACGCTTGTCAAGATAAAAACTTGAATATTGGTATCCCTTTGTCTAGTTTAATGCCTTCCATAGAACACTCGAAATCCAAACTCTCTGTTGTGAACGACTGTGATGAGTCGGTTGACGAACTTTCTGATTCGTATGAGATGAGCTCAAGTGTTTTGAGTATCAATAACAGCGCGAATGAAAGCGATATATCGCTCGAACATCGTCCTTATTTGAATGTAGATCATGCTATATTTAAAAACAATGTAAATAAAAAATTTACGACTAACGAAAACGAACTATATTATCTGACTATATATGCAAATCGTGAATTAGGCTTTACCGAACTTTTTTCAATTGAGTTAGAAGTTGATAAAGGAACTACTTTTTCTGATGTAATAGAAAAGTCTGCTGCGCGGTTTACGAGGACTTACCCTGAATATTTTTCAGAAATATTTTCAGAAACTAATCGCTTAGGTTTAACAGTTGTATCAGACTCTTACGAAAAGCTTCTTCCCGATGACTTGAGTTTATTAGAACTTTTAGAAATTTGCGATAAAGGCAATTTGCATCTTCGACAGAAACCTGATAATGTGTGTGGTTTTATTACTTCCGTATAAAATATTTTTCGTATAGATATTTTTCTAATTAAATGAATTTCTTTTTTATAGATTGTATTTTATAATTAATAGAGAATAATATAAAAGTTGCATTATATTTTTAGTTACATCACTATTATAGATCATGGGTGATATATTTGTTTTTAACTATTTATTCAACCTGATCATGGGTCATTTCTTTGTTTTTTAATATTTATTCAACATGATTATGTACAATATCTTTGTTTTAACTATTTATTTAACATGATCATGGGTCATTTCTTTGTTTTTAAATATTTATTTAACATGATCATGGATGGTATCTATGTATTAAACTGCTTTTTCAACATGATCATGGATGATATCTTTGTTTTTACCTATTTATTCAACAACGGCTTTATTCGAGCTACATACGAATTGATATAAATAGATTCGATTAGTTGTATGTTATATTAATTCATCATCACCAGCTTCTTGATTTACAGCAAATTTTTGTAATAGCTTGATGGTGCTTTGCTTTTCTCTTCTTTTAAAATGATAAAAGATATTGCCTATAAAATAATTGTTGTGTATTACTTTAAGATGATTAATAAAATCTGGGATACCTTAGCCGACATTTTTTAAAATATTAGAATAGTTAGTTTTATTTACGCGAGGTCGACTTTTTTCTTGGAAAATCTCTTTCTTTTTTTTTTAATTCTAAATATAAGTAAATATTTTCTTTTCAATGCAACAGAGTGTTCCGAAATCTTAGCCATAATTACATGATGAAAATTTTTCATAAAAATGAATTTATGTGTCAATATGAAATTCATTATAAATTTCATATTGACAAATAAATTCGGCAAGTATTTCAAAACGCTAATTTGTTTTTTGTTTATTAAGTTTTAAATTATGTTGTTTGAATTAATATTATTTTCTTCGTTCAGACTCGTCGCATCGGTAGCAGACAGTTTTTATACTTTTTTGCTGTTAACTTTTACCATTATGTATCAGATAAGCTATCCTCCAAATAATTAATTGTGTAAATCTAATATTCAATGTATGTAAACTAAAATGAATCAAATATTTTGCTATAAATAACAATAATGAATAATAAATAATTGAACTTCACTTAACGGTCAGTTAATGAAAAATAATTTATATTTCTAAAATGTTTTGTACACAATTATCTGCAAAATCTTTTCTATTATGTTATTGTATCAAAATGATATAAATATAAGAAAGTTATTTCATGAAAAAACCTCATAATATTGCGCTCAACTTGTTTAATATTTATAATATTGCGCTCAACTTGTTTCTCCACCCAGTGGTCTTTACATCGAGGTTCGTTTTTTGCAGTTAAAAGGTTGAAAGAGAGAGAGTTTGTTTTGTTGCTACCAAAAAGTTTGTTTTAATGTTACCAGCAAGTTTGTTTAATTCAGACATTTTTATCAGATCATTTTCATGCTTAGCTACCTACCTCCTCCACCTAGCCTACCTACCTACCTCCTATTTACCAATGACATTTTAATCTATATTGCCACAAAATCCACAATGTTTTAACGACATATTAATGAAAACTCTCTTGACACAATGTTTTGACAATATATCAATAAAAAACTCTTTAAAACAATTAAAAAACTTAAAAAAAAAATCGTTGATTAGAATCTGGTATTGCAATTGAGTGAGGCTAACAACACGTTTAATTTGTTTCTTTGTCAATTTTGAAAGTAATATAATAAAGTGTTTCCAAAAAAAAAAATTAAAAACACTAAATAATTTCAAATTATTTTCAAATTCACTTTTATTTCTATTGTAAATAAACAAATTATACTTAGCAACAAATCTTTTAGACCTAATTTTATTTGTTGATGATTCTAATCTTTTAACATACAGTTATGTAAAGTTAATGAGTGGTTTGTAAGTAACAAACTTTCATTAAATTCGAATAAAACACTTTTTGTTATAGTAAGTAAATCTAAAAGTAATCATTCTAAACAACCAAATCTTAGGATTAATTAGGATTATCTAAATCTTCGGAAAACGTAAACATTTTATGATTATAACTAGAAATTTACAGTGATAATCACTCATAATAAATAGCATTAAAAAAAAAACAGTTATTACGGTCTTACGTAGCTAGTACCAGCCATATAAAAAAACAACAAAAAATTGGCTTTAGAGATAATAAATGATCCTTGCGAACACTTCTAGTGTGCTTGGTGCTTTAAACGTGTATAAACTCAGTTTACACCAAGTTTTATTGTTTATGTTTTATGTTTTATACAAGCTTTATGTTTTAAACAAAAATGGAATGCAAAAATCTTTCAATCTTATTTTCGTAAAATTATTAATAAGTATTCAAAGTTTTTAGATAAATTTTTTATTCCAAAAAATAATTTAAAACCAACTTCTTATTTAATTAAGTTTCGCAGACCTTATCTGTGGAAAAAAATTCTAGATATTGTCAACAAAAACAAGATTTGATTAGAAGAATTTAAGAACTAATTAATTTGTAAAGTCGTGGCGCAGTGGTTAGAGTTCTAACTCAGATTCAAGAAATCTGAGGTTTGACGCCGGCTCTAGCCCATTAAGCGATATTGTTAAGGTGTCAATTTCACACAAAACAATTCTTACTTAGACAAAAACCGTGGTCATGCTTTACAAAGAAATTTACAAACTTTAACCGTACCAATTTTTCTTTTTTAATCGTTTCTGGATTATCTGTCTTGATGTTTAAAAACCGCCTCGTTCAACTACATCATTTTACATGGTACAATATTATGATTCGATGCAGTTTTAACAATTGATCTTAAATTTATTTTATATATACTGCAGCAGTGCCGTGGCTAGTAGGTCAGAGCCTTCCCCTCCCCCCCCCCCCTCCTTACTAAAAAAACCCAGCTATTAGTGCCGCCAAAATCTTAAAAATTTTACCACTAGTTTTTACCAAAAAAAAAAAAAAAAAGCTACCTTAATTTGCAAAAGACCACCTAAATTTCCAAATCAACCACATAAAATTCCTACCCCTCCCCTAATTAGGGGGTGTCGAAGAGCCTAGCTACGGCTCTGTGCTGCTGTATAAAAGACCTTCGCGTCCTTCTGTTGCTTTCAAAAAATAAATAATTATTTGAATTTTTTTATACTTGATTAAGTATTGTTTTAAGAATTTGGTTGTGTATTAATGAAATAATTGCTTATCGAAACTATTGAATTTAAGCTAACTGATAAAATAAAAGTTCGTCTATAATTTACGCAGAGCTAAATTTAATTAATAAGCGAAGCAAAGAAGTTTTTCTTTGCAGAGTCTTAAATTAAATCAAAAATTAAAATAGCTTTTTAACTTCAATAAAAATGACGCAAAAAAAAATTAATCTCCGGCATCTGTTTTTTAAATAAGTTTAGGTGTTGCGTTATTTATGGACGATTCCGAATAAATAAAAAAGCGACTCCAAAAATAATAATAATAATAGCAATAATAATAATAATAGCAATAATAATAATAATAGCAATAATAATAATAATAGCAATAATAATAATAATAGCAATAATAATAATAATAGCAATAATAATAATAATAATAATATGCTATCAAAATAAATCATTTTTGCTTAAATAAAGCAAGTTAAACAGTCAAACTTGTAAGTAAAACTTTCAATTTTAGTTTCTTCTTCTGAGAAATAAAACATAGTACTTCAGTTAAAGAAAATCAAGGTTTGTCTTTTCGCCAATAAAGCCTAGTAGTTGATTTAAAATATCAATGAAAATCCTACTGTCAGATCCAAAAATAAAAAAAGAATTGCTTAGCACAATCTCCTCGATTGTTAAGAAACATGTTCTGATTGATCTCGCTACTTTTGTTGCTGACAAATGTCAAAAAAAAAAAAAACATGTTCTGGTTATCTCCGGAAAATCCGGAATTCCATTATTTGTGACTAGTCACAAATAATGGAATTCCGGATTTTCCGGAGGAATGGAATTCCGGATTTTCCGAAACTGGAAAAGCCTAAAAGTCGACTTTTAGGCTTTTCCAGTTTCGGTCGAAATTACAATTTCAGACCGGAATTCAGGAGTTTATTTTTTACCTTTTTTTTAAGACTGTGACCCAGACTGTGTGAAAAAATCATTGTCCTACAGGGCAATTAAGAACTATTGGTAAACCTAGGTTAAAAAATACAAAGTTCTTAACAACCACAATGCAATTTTATTTGCAGTAATCAATTATGTAAGGATTTCTAGAAGTTTAGGAATATTGTGGTGCAAGAGTTCCTATCCAGTTTTGGGCAACAAACTCTCTTTTTTGATCTTCTGAGAATATTCTTATTTTAAATGTTAGTAACATTTTAAATAACTAAAAATAACTGTGTCTAAATACAGTAATGCCTAATACAGTAAATATTTCAATTTTAACCTAAAAAAACAAAAACAAAGAAAAAAAAGTGGGTTGAGATTTAATAAGAAAGCAATCTTGGTCATACCAACTCTGCTTATAATAGATTCTTAAAGCACTCTAATCACTTTTCAATTAAAAAATAACAAATGTTAAATACTTACATTGTCCATGGATTACTAGAAATATTTAAATACAAAACAAAATACTTTACACCAAATATTTAAAAAACAGAAATGAAAAAAATACTTACAGTTTATGTAACACTTATAATTAAACCAAAAACTTATTTAAAAAAATTTAAAAATTAAAGCAAAATTACTACTCAAAACAAATAAATAACGAAACTGGTAACATCAATAAAATATTATTATTATTTATTATTTATTATTTTATATATATTATAAAATAATTAATTTAGAACAAAAAAACTTAAGTTTAACTGCTCTTACACCGGACAAATTCAAAACGATTTAAATTGTACTCTTATTAAAAACTGTTGTCTAATCAACAAATAACTGCCGACGTATCACAATGACCTATCTGCCTTATTTAAGAATTCGGTCTACACCAGGTTCCTGGTAGTACCGCACTCAACTTGTTTCTCTGCGAAGCGGCCTTCTTTGTCAAGATTCATGTTTCGGAGTTATAGAGTTAGAGAAAATATGTTTACCGCAATTTAAGGAGCCTCCTCGGTTGTTGTGACCTTTATGGCCTTGGGGAGGTGAAATAACTTTAAAAAAAAAGCGAACGAGTAATCTATAACAAATTGTACAAATATTTAACTCAATTTAAGTCGTCAATAAAAAAAAGTTTAGTTTCCGAAAATAATATTTAAAAACTAATTGTGATAAATAAGTAATAATTTCCTTCTTTTAAGTACAAACGTTAAACCAACAACTATTCGTCTTCTTTTTGTATACGTATATGTGTGTCTTTATGTATGTATATATTTTTACAAGTATAAATTTATAAGTATATTCATATGTAAATTTATAAGTATATTCATATGTATATATTCATACCTGTTTGCTGAAAGACTTAATAGCACAAGAGTCAGAAAAAAAGAGAAAACTTTGTGCTGTGAATGGGTGTTTATAAAAAGATGCTTATTAAAAATATTAATATTAAAGTTTTTTTCTATTCTTTATTACATTTTAAAACATTTTGTTAACATTTCATAAAATTTACAAGCTAAAAAATATTAATATAAACAAGTGAAGATTTTTAATAAACATGATTTTTAATAAATATGCGCTGAACCTTAAAAAAGCATTTAACAAAGATAAGATAAAAAAAAAACTAATAAACTTTTACAAAATTGCAAGGCAAACAACCTCTGAAGAAAGATCAAGAGGATCTTCTCATCAGATTTTTATTTAAGAGTAAACCAAAATATAAACTAAAGAGTAAAAAGTATAAGAAAAATAAATAAAATAAGTAGGAATAAACTTCTATAAACATAAACATGTAAATGAACAATAAAAAAACTAGACCAAAATATATTTTTAACTTTTACTACTAATAATAACTCAATATATTATTTAATGAAAAAATGAGGCTTTTTAGTTGTTTTTTTTTTAAAAGGCAAAAAGCAATAGGTACTTCAAAATTAAAATTCGGCAAAACAATTTTATTCCAAAAGTGAGGTGCTCGATAGATAATACAAAATTGATTAAAGTTTATTTGACAGAAAGGTTCATTTAAAAAGTTATTATTTCTCAAAATATATTTATTGATTGGTTTAAAAGAGAAAAGATCTTTGAAGACAACTAGAGATAAGTTATTTATCCACATATATACAAAACATAAAATATTAAATACATTTAACTCGTAAATATTCAGAATTCTCATTTCAATAAAATAATGCTTCGAATGAGAAAGCGATTTGCAAAATTGATTAAACGGCATTTCTGACGGAGATAAAGACGTTGCAACTTACTTTTTTCTGTACTTTCCCAAGCAATATTGGTATAATTTAAATACCTATGTATAAATGAATAATAAAGTTGGATTAAGACTTTCTTATTGAGATAGATTCGTGATTTATATAGGATGCCCATGTTTTTAGAAATTTTTGTGCTTATATAATCAATATGGTGATTCCAAGTAATGTTTTCATCAAGATAAACACCTAAAATTTTGTAACAAAATCTCTTTTTATTTCCTTTTGTTCCATAAAGATTTGAGGTAATTTTGATGGGAGAAATTGCTTTTTTGTAATCGAATGAAATAAAACCCATTTTGTTTTATTAGTATTCAAGGTTAACTTATTACACTTGAACCAATTAGATATTTATCTGAGTTCTTCTTTAACTGTTTTAAAAAGTTTAGCGATATAATAGTTAGAAAAGAATAAATTATATATATTAAGAAATAAATTATATGTATATATAACTTATTCTTTATATATATTTATATAAAGAATAAATTACATATATAGTTTAAAAGTAGATTTGCATATTGTCAATTTCAAAAACTACTTTATTCAACTTTTTTTTAAAAGATATGTAATTCCATTTAAAAGAAAAATTAAAGTTATTAATAACTTTCATTTTTCTTTTTAATGGAATTATATGTCTTTGGAACCGTATCTTTGGAACTAAATGGAATTACATATATTTGGAACCAAATAGAATTACATATCTTTGACCCGTATCTTTGGGAAGAAATTGTCTTTAATATATTTAAGAAAATTTTGTTCCGAAGATACGTTTACGAAATGATATGCAAAATTGACAATTATTAGTTTTCGGAAATGGTTGCATTAGAAAATCATCATTTCGTAGATCAAATTAATTTTTTTGTTTTATTATAAATAAACTATGAAAAGGAGACGGAGATAATTTCGTTTTGCATTTGTAGATAAAACAAAGAAGATTATATACGTTACAGGGTTTTTCATTTTTATATGCGCGTCAATTCATTTTTATGTGCGTATTTATTCATTCTTATATGCGCCTTTTTTTCATTCTTACATACGTGTTTATTGCACATTTATTCATTCTTATATGCGCATTTATTCATTCTTATATACGTGTTTATTCATTCTTATATGCGCGTTTATATGCGGGTCAACCACCCATAAAATCTCTAATATAATTTAATATAAACAATAAATACGCTTTTAAATTTTTATATAGATATATTTAAAATATAAATTAGGTTGTTTTCATAGTTATTTATTCAAAAAATGGTTGCCGAGCCAACGCTGAGTTTATGTAACTACGCATATGATTGTAAAATGGAATTAAATTAAACTCTGTAGTATCCATAATATTTTTAAGTTACCTGATTACCCCATCCGTATTTCGAGGCCTTTCTCCCTGTTTGTAAGTATGTTTTAAAGAAGAAAAAATTCTTCTATTGGATTAAGCTAGGGCGTATATGCTGGCAGATGCTTAATAGCTATACCATGAGAGGCTAATGTTTCCTAACAGAAAGACTCCAGTGGAATTTACAATTGTCCGTAACAAGCACCACATTTGCATTCCTAATAACTAGTGCTATCATTGCAGTTATGAAAGTACAAAATGAATCTGCATTCCAGCCTCCAGTTTTTGTTTCATAAGCAAGCACTCCCATTGTAGAAACAGTACAAATTAAACTAACATTCTTGCCACGATTTGCAGGCAACTGTAAAATTGCTAGCGTACCTCTTAACAAATAACCATATGTGCTGTTAGCGTGCACATTAAATCCAGTTTCATCCAAATAAATAAGTTTTTTATCTGAAATTCCATTTATTTCGCTAGCAAATGCACGGCGTGCATTAATTACTCGTGTTGAGTTTCGTTCTTCTGGCACATGCACAACACGTTTTCTTGATAAATCCGAGCGTTTGAGTTTTCTTGCTGCAGAAAGATTTTCTTCTATTGCTTCTTGCGTGCAAAGATTGTTTTCCTGTACGCATAATTCGATAATATTTTTTATTTGAGAGTTTATAAGTCTTTTACCTCTTTTTTTATAAGAAAACAACTTGAATGCAGTCATGTAGTCGAATTCTACTCTGTTTAACTTAACGACAAGATTTTGAACTGTGCGCTTTGATAAATTAAGAGAAGTGGAAATGCTTGTTGCATTTCAATGTGCTCTTTTGTAACATTTTCCGTTGTTTTACGATTGGTACTGCTATTTTCTATTCCATCCATAGGGTCAAAATTTGATACTAAAAATAATTATAAATAATTAAATTTAAATTTTGATAAATGAATAACTAGATAAATAATAACTTAATTAAGCAAGAAATTTAATAATAAAAGTACAAAGAACTAATACTAAATTAAATAAACCATCATCGAATGTAAAACGTCTTCGTTTTAAATATTTTTAACCTCGTTTACCAGGAAATAAGAGAAATTTGTTTTGAAAAAATAAACTGTTTTTTCAAAACAAATTTCTTCGAATGATTTTTTTTTTGTTCAAATTGCTTTTTTACAATTGCTTATGTAAAACGCAATTGCAAAAAAAAAAAAAAAAAAAAAAAAAAAAAAAAATGAATAAATGCGCATATAAGAGCATATAAAAATGAATAAATGCGCATATAAGAATGAATAAAGGCGCATATCAAAAAGAATAGACGCGCATATAAGAATGAATAATCCTGTAAAACATATATTTTTCTTAAGAGAGGCTATGAACAAAATTAACTAAACGTGCTATGTTTTCGATGACGATGAAGAGTTTCTAATATACGTAACAGTGCTTGCATATACCTTCGTGAGAGTGCTCGATTAAAGTAAATTAAAATGATTTAAATTGAATTGAATTGAACTTATGAATATGGTGATGATATATATATATATATATATATATATATATATATATATATATATATATATATATATATATATATATATATATATATATATATATATATATATATATATACATATATATATATATATATATATATATATATATATATATATATATATATATATATATATATACATATATATATATATATATATATATATATATATATATATATATACAGTGGCGGAATTACAGCTATAGGGGGCCCTCATATAAAAAAAGTTATACTCTCAATAATATTTATACTATAAAACTCTTTTCCGCAAAAAAAAACATTCTTTTGCGGGGGGGCCCAAATTTTGAAGTTCCGCCACTGTATATATATATATAAATATAAATATATATATATATATATATATATATATACATATATATATATATATATATATATTATATATATATATATATATATATATATATATATATATATATATATATATCATCACCATCATCATATTATATCGTCAGCTTATGCTTTATCTATTTATTAAAAACAATAGGTTTTTTCGGCAATATGTAATTGCTAATTATATGTAAGTTTATAAAACTTTCAAAAAAAGGCGCATGCTTTGACAAGCCCAATGACGTTCTATGATCATAAAACGTCATTGGGCTCGCGAGCTCAATGACGTTCTCTGATCCGCATGCTTTTTAGATTTATGGTATATTGCGCCATCTTGGAATGTTTTTTTTTTTAGCAATACGATACCGTAACAAAAATGAATAAGACTATTGTATTAAAAGTTCGTTCTACAAGATAACAATATGCTTTGTTTAAAACATTGAAATATTTTTTTTATTCCCAGATCTTCACCTGTAACTTTTTTTAAAAATAAACCCAACGTTCTGTTCATCAAAATGTTTACGTGACGAATAGAATATGTTCCCGTTAGAATCGTATTGTCGTTGTTTTGTTTTTATTTCTTTTTCTTTTTATTAAGTAAGTAAAATAAAGTAATTATTTACAAAGTAAATACCTTCCTATTATTTAGAGTAAACTACTTTTTAAGAATTTTAACAAACATAATGCAACATTTCCGTGGAAGCTTACTTGCTTTCCGCTTAAAAAACATTATAATGGATTTTCATTTAAATTTGCAGACGTGAATAATTTCCTGACATTTTTATTCAAGATTTTTACTGATTCGTTCTTAATGTTAAATTTTAAATATGCTGATTTTTTGCTCGAAATATTGTAGTATATAATAATTTCTCTTTTGATTTTGAATAATGTAAATTTAAAATGTATGAAATGTGCTGATATTTTTGGTATAACTTAACACTGGCATCAGAGGGCGTATCGTCCATCCCTTTTTTTTAAAGCTTTCTTTTCACTTTAACTTTTAGGTTATAATTACAGTTTTTTTTCTCAAAAAAGTTTTTCAATCAGTCAATTTATTAAAATTTTGTATAAATATCAGTTTTTATTTTTAAGCAATTATGTATTTAGCTATATTTTAATTAAATAAATAATTGTTCTATCAATTTTTAATTTAGATTTTAAAAGTTACAAATAATAAATAATATTTGACAGCTTTTAATCTTACAAACTTTTAAACAAAAAAAAGTTCAGTTGTTATTGTAAATATCATTATTAAAATACAAAAAATCATTTAAAAATAATTTTTTAAACAATTATTATGTAATAATGTTTCACTATAAAAAAAATGCCTTTTTGTATAAAATTGATTTTAAATTTGTTTTTTTAGTTTGATTAGAACCACTATTAATGTAAATATAGATATAGATATTCAAGAATCAGTATAAATAACCTAATTGCACAATACAAAAATTAAAAAAACTTGAAACTGTTCTAAATGTTTCCACATAATTTATATTTTTTATTGCATTTTTTATTTTCATCCATCTAACTATTGTTTAATTGTTAAAGTTATATTATACTTTATACTATTTTACTTTTAAAAATAAAATCTACAACTTCCAGTTGTTGTTCCAGTCATCTAGAACTGCTTAAACGTAGTTGCTTCATTGAGTTAAGCATTCAGTAAAAAAGTTCTCCGACGTTGTCTGTCAGATTCTGACCAGATCTTTTTTACTCTGTTGTAATGAACTGAATGATGGTTAATTTCTCTCTGAATGATGGTTAATTATTCTTTTAAAGCTTCTCAACTCAATAATTAGCTTAGATACTTATTAAGTTGAGTAGCTTGTTCATAATTTAAATAGTTGTGTTGTATATTGTTACTAATTTAAATAAATCTGTTATCAAAGAGTGCTAGAAATTAATTAAAATTATTCAAATGTACATCCAAAAGCTAAAAATAGAATAAGTGAAAATCAGAATATTGATATAAGTACCAAGTATGAGTAAGTATAAAATTCTACTAGGTCTTAGTTTGAAAAAAATATTATGCAAGTTTTTTTCAATACATTTTCATCAGATTTATTATTTATTTTATATATTTTTTTAAAGGTCAGTATGTCGAATAATATTGAAGTAGTTTCAAAAGATGCCTTTGCAATTTTATCCAGGCTTTTTGACCATAGAGCTATTTTAAAAGGGGAGTGCACATTTTTTGTTACAGAAATGGAGCTTAAAAAAAGTCGTCAAATGAAAACATTTTCAGATATAATAATTGCTGCAGAAAAGTCAACACAGAGAATTCCAGAATGCGTAGAACTACTTGAAAACCGTATTGAGGGTATACATGGCAAAGTTATAAATGCTGGATCTAATATTATTGATATTATTTCTGATAAAAGTTCAAAAATAGCTGAATTAAGAGAACATTTTAAACAAAAAAGAGAAAATGAATGGGCTGATTTTATTATTGATATAAACAAAGCCAAAGCAGACATTATTCAAAAACATGAGAGTTCTATGCAGCAATTTAAACTGTGATAAGTTTTGTGAAAACTATATTTCTAGTGTAAAAAAAATGTAACTAATAGAATAATTGTTTATTGTTTGTAAAATAATATCAAGAGATCATAAATTCAATATTTATTGTGTGTAAGAATATATGATTTGTTATACACTAGGTAATTGCAATGCAGTAAAATGTTTTTTCACTGTTTTTGACAATAAAGCCAAGTATTATTAAATTTAAAGAAAAAATAATAAAGAAAATTATTTGTTACATTTTTTTAGGTACATTATATAATAACAAAATGATGCTTTTGTTGTTGTTTCTATCTTTTCTTGTTCAAGTTAATGGAATTAAAAAGCTACCTAAAGATGTTTCTCAACGTAAGTTTTTGTTTTATTTATATAAAATTTAAAAAAGTCATAAAAAGAAAATAAAAGATATTAAAAATTTTTAAAATGCATTGAATTAATACAATAATTATAAAATGATTTAAAGTTTTGTAAAATTACATGAAAAATAATTTTTTTGAATTGATTAAATTAAGGTTTGTTATTATCTAAAATAAAATGTTCTGAAGTTTTTTAAAGAACTATTCTTTTGCAATCAGGCAAATTTAAAGAAATGTGGACCAGCACACAAGAAAGAGTTGCTATAAATATTTTTCATTTCTAGTTAGAAAATGTCATTTTCTAGCCAGTAAAATCTAAAATCTAAGTATTTTTATAAAATAAAAATTTGGTTTGAAACTTTTATATAATTTTGCTTTTTTTAAGACCCAACATGATATACTTTAGAGAAAATACTTTTTTTCATAAAATTAGGAACCTATGTGATATTTAAAGATCTTTTGCAACCCCTTAAAATACTTTTTATTCAGAAAAAAACTTTTAAATCCATTATTTCTTTATTATAAAGAACACACACACAAATATATATATATATATATATATATATATATATATATATATATATATATATATATATATATATATATATATATATAAAAACACATACAGAAATTAGTAAAAATACTATTTTAGTTTTTTCTTATATATATATATATATATATATATATATATATATATATAATATATATATATATATATATATATATATATATATATATATATATATAATATATATATATATATATATATAATATATATATATATTATATATATATATATATATATATATATATATATATATAATATAATATATATATATATATATATATATATATATAATATATATATATATATATATATATATATATATATATATAATATATATATATATATATATATATATATATATATATATATATATATATATATATATATATATAATATATAT